GGCAGGACTTGTGGCCCAGTGAAGGCAGGAGCTCATGTTAGAGCAGGTTTGCTGGCAGGACTTGTGACCCCATGTGGGACCCCCACTAGTGCAGCCTGTTCCTGAAAGACTGCACCTCATGGAAGGGACCCAAGCTGGAGCTTTTCCCATGGGAAGAACTCACATTTTAATACAGTTTTTCTCCCTTTCTGTCTCAGTTTGAAGAGACTGGAATATTTGCTAAAAAGGATGAGTTATGAGACAAAACAAACTCCTCTCTCTCAGCAATTGTAAATTCAAAATTACGGGGCTTTAATCAAGGAAGTGTGGAAAAAACAGAAGAAATAACAACCCTTTATTAAAAGATATATATATGTGTTGGGAACAGAACACACAAAACCAGCTAGATAATAGTCCTGTACCCAAAAGTCCCCTTCAAACAAAAGAAAAGCTCTGGATACTTCCCTGTCTTTAGCGCAGTTCCAATCCCGGCCGGCAGGGGGCGCTGTTGGGTCGCTGGAGGTGCCGGGCCCGCAGTGCTCAGTGTTGGCCGGCAGGGGGCGCTGTCGGGCTCTGGGAGGGGGGTCTGGGGGTGCTCTCGGGTCGCGGGAGAAGCCGAAAAGAAAATGGGGACCCTTCTCCCAATGGAAAAAGGGGGAAAGGAAAGCAGTCCACCCCCACAGAACTCACTGTTGTCCTCAGATGACAGTGTTTCAAGGCTCCTTCTTTTTTTCTCCCAGTGAGCACAAAACTCTCCGATGAAAACGCAGCAGGTCTGAGCTGGAGACAAAGACAGCTACCCTGTCTCCGTCCCAAAGAAAGAACCCAGCAAAACTGACTTCTCCTCCCCTGTGAGCCGCGCCAGCTACCGAAAAAATCCCAAACTCCTCCCCCCCCACCTCCAGCCTTCGATGGGCCATTAGCTAGGAATTTGGCTTTGCCAGCCAGACCCTCTGTAAAGCTAATTGACCCCCTTCCCCCTTCCCATTCGAACTGGGTTTTTCTTACAGTGGAACAGGGGAAGGAAAAAAATTCCCTCCTGGGATTTATAGCCTATAACACTTCCACAGTTTCATAACAGTTTCTCTCACAGCTAGTAAGGAACTTAGAAAATGAAGGATTGTATTTTTCAGTGGACTCCTATACTCTTTATCCATTTCTGCATTAGAAACATACATGAATCAAATATCTAAGGAAGCTAGCTTAAGAAGACACAAATATTTAAGGAAACTAGTACTGAGTAGCTTATTGCTTTTTCATCTTGAAACATGATATTGGCAGTTATTAACCGCTTCAAGGTCTTGGGTGACCGATCTTCAAGCTTTTCCTTTTAGGTCTACCATAGCAATATGGCTTAGAGAAGCTTTTGAGTGCTCTAGTTGGAGCTGAATATATCATGTGGGGGATTATTTTGGTGAGGTTTTTCAGTTAGCTTTAGTTGCAAAATAAAACTGATCTCTCTCTCCCATTTTTTCAACTGTTCATGATTCTGAAGAAGCTTTTTTATCCAAAACCTCCATAGATGAAGACAGCATTCAGCACTGGGAATCCATACTGAGATAAGGGGAACAGGATTTATATTTCAAAAGACCAAGTAGACTTTCTATTGCCTTCAGTGTTCCAGGTGAGCGGCTGGAAGACCATCTGGCAAAACTCTGCCAGACTCTTAAGCTAACACAAAGTTGAAGGTCTGGCATCAGCATTTGTGCTAAATTTCAAACTAATGGAAATTTGGGCAGATATTGAACATGACTTTTATAATTTGGCATCCAACATCAAAATATTTCCAACACCATCTCAAGCAAGATTTTTATATAATTTATTCAGAAAAAGGAAAGAGACTATCTTCTATCTAGGGAACTAATACCAGTATTTGTGTAATTATTAAAAAAAGTGAATATATAATTTTAAATATCTTCCTCTGAGAAAGCTGTTTTGCTTTGGTTCTTGAATTATGCTCTATAACACAGTTTTGTTGACAAGTCATAGGTAAGTACAGAAAAATGACAGCCCTTAAAAACCATTTGTTGAAAATCCATCCAAATTTGGGCCTTTCTGGCCTTAAGGTTCTGATCAGATAGTTGACATTACTGTATTTCTTTACAGTTATATGTAAGAGGATAATATATTTTCATGCTTATTAAAAACTTGCTGGCAAAAATGTTAGTAAGATGTTTATTGAAAATACTCCAAAATCATACTGCAGGAGACAATGCTTACAGACCTCACCTAGTTTCTAACAAGTCAATAACAAATTTTTCCACTGAATCCTAATTCTGTTTAGTAATCTAAAATAATAATTTTGACATATCAAAACATAGAGTCAAGAAGGGAAACCAAATACTGCAGACCATGACTATTAAGAAGCCCAGAGACAGCAGAAGACCCAGCTGTAGCAGAATCTATATGCAAACAGCAAGGTTGCTATAACATTTGGTAATATGGGAAACATTCAACACATTATTATTTCAGTCTTTACTTACACAAACACAGTTCAAAAGAGTGCACTGCAAAATTACGTTCTGTGGTTTCCTATAAGGCCTGGTTGATCTTACATAAAACAACGATATGAGGAAACTAAACTAGGTCTTATGATTTACAATAATCTTTCCATGTTATTTATTACACTGAATTACTTGGGATATATAGTGTATATATTTAATATTAATCTCTGGGTTGTTTTGAGTTAGCATATTATTTCTTAAATTCTATTCCCTTTCTTTTCTTCTGTTTATGGGGTGCAATAAATTCTTATCGTTTCTTTTTCTTCATTTTACAAGGTAAAAACTGTTCCTAATGCCTTATCTTATGGGTATAAAAATGGAAGTTGATGGAGTACACGCTTATGATTTATACAACTTCACCCAGAACTGTCTGTGTATTTAACCCCATAGTGAGACTATAATGTCTCTGTAACTACCATTTACCATTTATTTCTGAATAAAATTATTGGATACTATAAATAAATATATAACTTTGGCAGGGAGGAAACCATTACAAGAGAAAAAACCAAGAAAGGCTAGAAACAGATCCATTACTAACATGCAACAGTCAACCTATCTGAAATCAGACTTTAGACTTGAGTATATGTTGCACACTGGTTTTGTCTTGGTGTTTTTCCTCTCTGAGCATTGGCCTGAGAGAACAAAGATGATCCCATAACTAATTACTACCTGCATACAAACCTTTCTCTTTTAAGCTTTCAAATACTGGACTGCCAGTGGGGGAAATCTCAAAGCCTGTAAATTTTCTAGCTAGTAGTGGGGTGGGAAAGCACCAGGAGACTTCAGTTCAAGTAGGAAACTGTTAAGCTGTTAATCAAAGCACTTGAGATATACAACTGTATATATCTCTGTGTGTAGTTGCTGACTCCAGAGAACTTAGCTTCGATGAAATTACTTCACCTCTCCACTGAAGATGAGACTTCAAAAAATACTAGTAAACTTCTCTCAGCAGTAGGAATACACATCATCATCTTTGTCATCATAATTACAGTTAGTCTGGGAATCAGAAGCTACAGAAAAAAAACAACAGATCGGTAGGAGCAAAAAGTCTGGGTTTCAGATGGATCACTCTCGGTGTGTGCAAAGTTACATGGCGTGATTATCTCCAACATGAAAGTGAACGCAATTACTAGAAAGTTCTTATGAAAAAAAAAGAAGTTATGAAATTAAATATCAAAAAGACACAAAGATGACATACATATAATATTGTCCATGCACTTCCAAAACTCAAGTAACATACTATACAAATGAAAATTCAAAATTCATTTCTTCTTCTTTCATTTTAATTGTTTCATTTTTATATTGTCCACTGAAAACCAAACATCCATTGACCTGTACTTTCCACTTCAAGAATAGGAATGAAGAGAGATAGATGTCTCTTAGTGGCATCAGTCCATATGCATTCAATGACTACCATGTAATGAATCCCTTAGACAGGATCAGGTCATTTGGAAGGAACCACGGGAAAACACACCAACGTCCTACTCAGTGTAGGCTATTTAGATGCATACGCTGAAGACAGTGGCTAGTCAAGTGTCAAGTATGTCCTAGTTACAGGGGCCAGGACAACTTTATCACTATGTGGGCATAACCAAAACTGTGACAACGTTGGTTGTAAAATTCTCTGCCCTGGGGGAGGTACTGCGCATTTCCACCTGAACCTGAGCATATATCATCTTCAGGTTTTGGGACTTCTGTTACCACTCGTCAGATCCAGAGGAGGACCAGAACTTCCATGAGACTGCGACTGCCACTCTCAACAAGACTGTGATCATTACCTCAACAGAACTGCCACCATCATCTGAACCAACAAGTTTCCTTTCCTTTTACTTTGCACCCAGGGGGGTCACATGGTTCTCAGCACAGGGGTTAACAAACACCATTCTGTTCTTGCCCCAGGGTGCTGGGTTATACATCTATATTTATAGATTAAAACCAGTTTTCTCTGTATCATTTTATTTATTGTAATATTTTTTAGTGAATTTTAACTCTGACTTGCAATCTCTCAAGTCGTGTTCATTTCATTTAAACTTTTAAACCAGCACAAAGTATCTCCTTGAATAGATATTCCACAAGTATAACGGCAACCTGTTGCAGCATACTCTCAAGGCAAAGGTTTTCCACTTGCACTGAGATGGGTTTCCCATGCTCTAACTTCTGGTCACAGCCTCTTGTCCTTCCACTGCTCCTCTGAGAAGAATGCACCTCTGTCTCCTCAACACTCTCTGGTTAGGTAGTCATAGAATAGTAAGTTTCCCCCCCCCCCCCCAGCATTAGCTTTTTCTTCTTAGGACAGAATCACAGAATCACTGAATCAACTAGGTTGGAAAAGACCTCTGAGATCATCGAGTCTCCAACCTTGTCTATTAGACCATGGCACTAAGTGCCGTGTCCAGTTTATTCTTAAATACCTCCAGGGACGGAGACTCCACCACCTCCCTGGGCAGCCCATTTCAATGCCAAATCACTCTCTCGGTAAAGAACTTCTTCCTAATGTCCAACGTAAACATCCCCTGGCACAGCTTAAGACTGTGCCCTCTTGTCATATTGCTGGTTGCCTGGGAGAAGGACGGAACATGTCTCTCAGTCTCTCCTTGCACATCACGTGTTAGAGCCCCCATAACATCAAAATGTCCCTCCGATGCACTCGCTCCACTATGTCTATGTCTTTTCTGTGTTGGGGAGCCCACAACTGGACACACCACTTTTGAGGTCATGCCAAAAGTGCCAGATAGAAGGAAAAAAACACCATTTCCCTCCAGCTGCTGTCTACCCTCCTCCCAGTGCAGCCCATGGTGCAGCTGCCCCTCTTTGCCAGAAAGGCACACTGGTGACTGTGCAACTGACTGCCCACAAGGGCCTTGGGTCCTTTCCTACAAAGCTGCTTCCTAGCCAGCCAGTGCTGCCCTGTCCTGTTGCATGGGCATATTCCATATGCAGAACTTTGTATTTGCCTTTGGCGATTTTCATGTGGTTCCTGACAGCCCATTTCTGGAGCCTGACTAAGTTCCCCAAACAGCAACCCTGCACTTCAGTGTACTGAACACCCTTCCCAATACATATATCTCCAAACTGGCAAGGGATACACTTGATCCAGTCATCCAAGTTGTTACTGAGAACAAGCATGGTTGGCATCAATTTCTGGGTCAAGTCACTCATAACCAGCTTTGTACCAGTGATCACTACCCTTAAAGCTCAATGGTTCAGATAATTTTCCACCCATCTTACTGTCTATTTATCCAGTCCATGGTTCACCAGTTTGGCTGTAAAAACACTAGGTACAATGCTAAAGGCCTTGCTAAATTCAAGGTATACAACATCCGCTGTTCTACTCTTATGGCCTTAGCCAGTCATCTCAACACAAAATAGAAGGCAGATGACCCTCCCAGACCACATAGCACAGAGGATATATAGGTAACCTAAAGAAAGTTATCACACATGAGAAGCAGCCAGAGTACACAGGAAGGAGTTGCTCAGCAACTGTATCCAACTGGTGAAAATTAGAAAATAAAAGTCCAGAAATCTGGGAAGCCATAGCCAGTTCCTTGCTGGCCTTGCATTTTCTTCCGAAATTTTGTTGGAAAGCTTCTCTGTTCCCAAGGGTTCTGCTCATTGCAAACATGATGTCTCCTGAAATTCAAAAAAAGGAGTTAGGATTTTAATTTTCTCTGACAGTGTGGCAACTTCTCACGCAAATGCAACAACAATGGAAGCTCAGAAGTGCAAGATTCCTAGGGTATACATCCTCATCACTTATTGACTGAAACAAATGTATTTCTTCACTAAAATACACAAAGCTTGTTGAAAATTTTGCCGTGCTAAGCTGCATTTCTTTTCAATGTCATATGAAAAAGGTTCCAAGGCAAAAATGTTTCTCTGCTGTCATGCAATTCATCACAGGACTAACTTACATTCACATCTCCTGATGAGCTCCTGAGTTTTGTTTTCAGTTACACTGCTCCAGAATGAAGCTATCACAGAAAGAGGAGAGGAAAGCTTCACTGGGACTTCTCTGTATATATGTGATATTGCTGAAAGTATATTCATGCTAACTGCTTATGAAGATTTTTAAAACAAAAAAATTAGTGAAATATTAGGAGAGACAAATGGATTTTGAAACTCATCCATACACACTGCAAGCAATGCTAAGTTTTGTATAACACTATGCAAGGATGTACCATATGTCAAATTGCAGAACAGGCTCTGACGCTACCAGTTTCATACAATTTAATAACAAGCATTTAAACTTCAACCATTTCGAGTGACTCAAGTGACAAGATGTTTCAGTATCTGACTGTCTCCTCTGTTTTCTACAGCCAGCCACCTCAAGATGAAAATTGCCGTAATACTTAAGATTTATCTGCTGACTATTTTTTTGTACCAGCAGTGTTAGCAGCAGTCCCAATGTTGTGCTGAATGAGTTTTCTTTTTAGCCTTGATTTTCAGGAGTTCATATATTTTTTTCTAAGCATATGTAATACCTAAAGGTACTTAGTATATTTCAAAGAAGCAGGAGGGAAGCAAGAAAATAAAAAACTCCACCTCTTAAAAGGCTCAGGCTGTTCTGGAATTGAGAGTTTCACAAAACCCAAAGAAAACTGAATTTGTACAAAACAGGGAAACTTGATAATTCCATCTAATGGCAAAATTTCAAAAAAAACCCTAATACTTGCAATTATGGTCCATAAGGACCACAAATCATTTCAAGTATTTTATTTCAGGAATAGATGGTTTTAACTAACAAGGAATGTAGTGTTGAGGAAATGCTCCTATTCATCTACACAGTTTTTAACTGAGAGGAATGTGGTACTGAGGATATGTTCCTAATTAATCTAGACAGTTCTAGATCACAATTATCTCTTGAAGCTTTGACGTCTATCAATTGCTACTTAGAATGATAGGAGAGAGGTCACTAGATTTTACTAGTCTTTATTCTTCTGGGTTTTTTTTAGAAAATAAGAGAACGGGAAGAAAACAAAAATATCAGCACAATTTTCTTTAGGGAGAAATTAAAAAAAAAAAAAACAACAAACCTCAAACCAAACCCTAAAACGATTTACATGTTCAAGAATAAAAGTTGTCAGTAAAAATGCCAACAGTTTGTAAAACAAAGAAAAGTCATGGTTGTTGTGGGAAACTGTAAATTTGAATCCTTCCCTTTGTGTGTTCCAAAGCAGATGTTCAGCTGCTATAAATCAGCAAAACTCCCTGACCCTTAATTTCTTAACCACAGGAATGCGCCGAGGATTTTTTTTTTCACTGAATTTAGTTAGACTAAGTAGCAGTATTCTAGCTATTCTAAGAACTACAACACCCTCTGTTGGGCAAAGAATTTTCATGCAGATACGGTAAACCAATTAATTTCAATGAACTGAAGCAACAACTGGTTGCATTCTTCCAAAGGCTGAGCTTGAGTGCATGATGTGCTCATATACAGCCAATACAAATGAGCTATATATAACAACAATGAAGTATAAATTCCTATTATTTGTTTTGGTGTGATGATAACATTCCATAAAGAGGAAGTAGGAATTCATCTTCTGATGAAAGAAAAGACCCATCTCAACTTAATTCTGAGGTTACTCATGACATCCTTTTCCCTGAGGTTTCTCATCTGATGGGATGAGTATTGATCCCAATACTACCCAGCATCTCCTCTGAAAAAATAATTGTTCCCAACATGGTTGCTTCCTTTGAATTTGATCCTTGCATTCTTACCTATGTATTCTTAAAATGTCACAAGTATGTAATACTTTTGCAGATTGCATTGCAGACATAAATGTGTCACAGGCCCAAGGAACTCACAGACTTGCAGAAAAGGTATCAGTATGAAAGCAGATAGGATTTTCAGCTACCTCTGTGAAAAGAGATGAAATAATGAATTTTCATCACAGATCTGAGGGACAAAATGTCATACAGGAAGAAATAGAACGTTGCAAGAATAAAAAAAGCAGTAACATTTAGATTAATGCTTAGGAGATAAAAAAATGGTTAAGGACGGAAAATTATAAAAAGGCAAGTATCATTAAGTGTAAGTATTGTAGATGAAAAGGAGATGAGAACCACTGTGTCTGGCTTTTAGAAAAGAGGAGTTTGAAACAGAAAACCTGTAAGAATAAGAAAAAGAATTTAGGGAGCAAGACACTTAAATGGTTTTGAACCTCCTTAGAGAAGGAGGTTCCTGCCCCTCTAGTACAGACCACTTTCTGAGTATCTTTGTGTTCTCCTATGAGCAATCTGAACCACCTCATCCTTCTGCATTTTCCAACACATTACCAGCTTGGACACAAAACTTCCCTGCTAAACCCAACTTTTTTCAATCTCTCCAAGATAAGAATTAAAGCTAGTCTAAATAATTTGATGGCACTTTCTGCAGGAAATCAGTCCTTTTAGAAGACTGGAACTTTCCTGTTCAATATTGACTAAATTATGCATATTTAATTCTTTTAACATTTCAATGCAATTAATATATTTCAATTCAGCTTTATTGAAATCAAACAATTCAGTCTTTTGCATCAAATAACTTTTTAGCTTGAAATGTAGTTCACATAACTAAAATTGATGACTCTACATACCTCTTATGTTTTCTTCTGTGCATTATCATTGCTAGGTAAACTCTGCAATTATCCAGAGGGTATTGACGACACAGTAAGTTATTAGCTCATTCATGTTGTACTGAGCTTGTCTGAGCCACTTCTTACTAATAATGCTAGAGATATAGTATTAGCATCACTGTGTTGGAACTTGACAGTCTTAATTTAATCATATTCCTAATAGTCTTAATAATTACAGGCTTTTTCTTGCTAATTACAATGCCATTTTTTTAATTTTTCTTCAAAAAATTTGCAGTCTATAATCCAAAGACGTTTGCTGTGAGCCACACACTGACTGACCATATAAAAATAATAGATATTTAAATTTACCTCTCTCTGTAAGATCATTTCATTTGAAAATAATAGAAAACCTCAGTATACTTTGGAAGAGAGAAGACAACTCTTGTCTTTAAACAACGTGAAAATGCCACGGTAACTTGTAAAAAGTGAATAAATGACTGTTTCTAAAATAGTCCATTTTCTGTCACACTTTTTTTACCACACACTTATGAATCTTAAATGAAACGCAACAGTGAGTAGAATTGTTATCTTCTGATGTAGCTTGTACTGTGAATACAGGGGTATTCGTTCATTGGTGTTTCTGCAAATGATGGAGTTTAAGCTCCAGCAGTTTTAAACAGCTTACCTGAAACAAATCTATTGTCTATAGTATTAAGACACTATATATAAGTTATATACACAAGAAATAACTCCTTTTTCACCTTTCTATATGGGCTATCACAGAAAGCTGTGATTCTCCAGAAATTCCTTCCCATTCCATATGGATGTCAATCCCAAACATTCACATGCACAGGAAAATCACTGGCTTGTTTAGTCTCATCAACAGATTCTGAGGGCAAATACCTATCAAGAAATTGCCCATTTTCTCTTTTCTATAATTTCAGTAGGAGTCAGTCACCTAAGAACTTTTTCTAATTCAGCACTAATTCATCATTTCAAAACAGAAAATGAGACACATGAGAGCTTTCTGTTTCTTAGACTTGGACTTTAACTTCTCAGAGAATCTGGTGCTGATACACAGGTCAAAATATAATTTTTACCCTCTTATTAAATAAGGAGGCCTAAGGAGAGACAAAAGGGACCATGCAGGTGTCAGGGTCGTAGTATGTCCCTTGACAGCAGAAGAATTTAATTTTTGTGCCCCAGTTTCCCTCCCCATCTTCCTGCTGGCAGAGAGAAACTTACTCTGCCCATTCTCTGGATTGTAGGGTCTTTTCCTTTGCCAGACAAAAAACCCTGCAGAGCTATCCCAATTCAGGATGGGGACACTAAGCAGATGAGCATGACACCATGGTCTTATCTCTTCCACATAGTGCCTCACTGTCCAACCTAAGCAAAAAACAGGGATCACCATCTCACTTTGCCATCACTGCTACTACAATTATCTTTATCTCTTAACCAAGAACTAGCTGGAAGAATCAATGTCAGCCACAGTCCAGAAGTTATCTCTGCTGCAGGGGACAGACCAATCAGCACTTTGTAAGCTGGTGACATTCTTTATTCCCCAGACACAGATGTGCACACAATGGAATTTTGAGTATGACTTTTGATATTAAAATTTCTTCTCAGAGATCACGCTGAGAGCAAACAGGTATATAACAATTCACGTTGCACTATAAACAAAGTCCAGATACATTCACATCAGTAGTAAATAGACATCCAAACAGCAGGTAGACAACTAAACACTTTTATGATTTGGTTCAACAGCCTTTTCTTGTCCACTACGACGTTTCAAATTCTTACTAACGTTTTTTCTCTACAGACTTGATAGTTTGATTTTTGTTTTGTTGGGGTAAGGAGACAGAGGGACAGGATGATATAATTAAAAGATAGGAGCAAACAGAAAAGGGAACTGGAGAAAACTTTAATTTTAAAAATCATTTCTACCTCCTCAGAACAATTTAGTAACACACCACCACTGTGATTTCCTTTGGAGCTGTACGGACTAAGTAGCCTTGCATTTATTAATGTTTTTGCTACAACCCAGGCCAGTACTTCTAAAGACAAGTAAGGCAAAGCTACTTCAGCGTAGATGAACTTTACTGAGATTTGTCTGGCAAATATGTACAATGTCTATAACTTGTACTGCTGTCTGTCAACAGTTCATAGCAGTAAACCCCTAATTCTCATTTAACCCAAAAACTTTTCTCATGAAGAGACTTAACACTTAAAATATAAATTAAGTAAACCTAAAGGGATTGCACACATACGGAGTATATGCTTATGTTCTTTACCTTCTCCTTCTGTCTAGTAGAGAAGTGTTCTAAGATGTTACATACTGCAACCAACAGAATCAAACTAATCTGAGTGAAGTTGAATTAGAGATTAGAAGGGAGACAACAGCAGCTGCTGTGTTTTCCTAAAACCTCAGCCCCACCACACCAGCCTGCAGAGGGAATTAACAGCATTTCACACACGCGCGCACACACACACACGCACAAAGTGAATAGTGCATAATGTTTAAAAGAAAAAACACCATGCATGTATTTTTAAAAGTGCACGTTAAGTCACCAAACCAACCACATGGTGGCAGTCTAACATTAAAAAAAAAAAAGGAAAAATGCATGTAATAGAAACTATTTGAAAAAGTAGTTAAAAATCTATGCATACTACTCAGAATATAATCAAACAATGCTGTAGAGCAGTAATTTTGAATCTTTTTTGATTTGCATACCTCTAAATATTTTAAGCAGTTAAAGACTCAATATGCAGATAAGTCTCATGTTTATCTTCCATGAAAGCCTGTACCTTTATGGTACAGTTTGTACATCCCAAGTCCACAGAAACAAGATTTAAAGACCAGTTTCATCATTCTAGAAAATACTATTTTCATGTATTTGTATGCAGATTTGCACTCTCTTTGTTCAGAGTTCTGACTCCAATCCACTCACATTTATTTCTGAAATACAGCATAGATGCCAACCTGGTATTAGATACAAGTGAGCTTATAGTTTCTCCTAATCCTTCTTTTTAGTTTCCTCCTCACTAACTGCAACTCAACTGCCTACATAAATTCACACACAAATCTTCCTGTCCAAATCTTTGGTATGCATATGCAACATATCACTACTTGATGAATGCCCAACACTTAAAACATGGACACTGAGAGATCCAAAAGCATAACTGATGTTATCCACAGCCTTATTTGCTCGGATTTGGTTGTTATTGCTACAGTTGACTGTACAGTTTGCCTTTTCCCATTTGTATTAGTGAGGCTAATGATTCCAGTGCTATTTTGTGGTATTTCCAAAATAATTTCCTATTGTTTTTCCTAACCAGTACATGGTAGATTGTTCCAGCTGGTATGCATGCCCAAAATTGCTCCCTTGTTCCTAGATTCATTACTTTTTATTTTTCTATATTGAACTCTGTGTGCTGTATGCCAGCCAAATCAAGATGGGTCAAATCACTTTACATTTTGTGTCTCTCATTACTGTCTTTGCTTTTGTCAGTATTGTGACTAACTCTGAAGAAGCGTTTTCTCATATGAAGTTATATGGAGCAAATTAGCAATATTAGTTACACATCAGTTGCTGGTGAAAGCATTTTTACACAACACAAGGCATTAGATTCAAGCTTGTCACTGCTACGCAAAAATACTGCTACTGCACCAAAATGTGGCTATTCATCATTATAATTCAGGTCAGAAATATAGATCTAATTTTATATTGTGACTTTACAGGAGTGTTAGCTGCTAGCTCACCTGCAGGTCTGTATTTACAGATTTGCAGCTGCTAAGCATTATTCCACTCTATGATGAGAAAGTAAAACTGTTGCACTTTAATTTAGAGTGCGTTAAACTGCAGGATCTCTTCTTGCTCACAGTTCTCCAGGTTGTGGCTGAGCTTTTACTTCCATATGTTTCATTGTGGATACCTGTTTGCACTCATGAAATCAAAGGGCACTCTCATTCTAATTAACTTGCTTTCCACAATCATCATAGAGTCATAGAATCATTTAGGTTGGAAAAGACCTCCAAGATCATCAAGTCCAAACTTGGACTGATCACCACCGTGTCAACTAAACTGTAGCACTAAGTCCCACATTCAGTCATTTCTTGAACACCTCTAGGGATGGTGACTTCACCACCTCCCTGGGCAGCCCATTCCAATGCTTGACAACCCTTTCTGTGAAGAAATTCTTCTTGATGTCCAACCTGAACCTCCCCTGGTGCAGCTTTAGAGTATGTCTTCTCGTTCTGTCACTAGTTGCCTGGGAGAAGAGGCTGGTCCCCACCTGGCTACAACCTCCTTTCAGGTCATTGTAGAGTGACAAGATCTCCCCTCAGTCTCCTTTTCTCCAGGTTAAACAACCTCAGCTCCCCTAGCTGCTCTCCACATGACTTACTCTCCAAACCCTTCACCAGCTTTGTTGCCTTTCTCTGGACACACAAAATGTTTTTCTGGAACTGATGATTCATCAGAGATGGAAGTGGAGGAGGAGCTTTTCCAGACTTTTGGTTCCTCTGGGTGGTGCCACACAACTCCTTTGCCATACAGCAGTGGGTGTCATCCAATTGTAGGTTCAGCATCCTTGTTTGACAGTGCCTTCTCCTCTCCGTTCTCCACTTGTTTACTGAAGTGTTTTTCAGATTGCACCCTGAGTATCCATGACAACATAAATTTGCTTCCTTAGAACAAGCCCAGGAACTTAAAGAGATGGGCTAAAACTTGCAGTTCTTTCCTCCACCTCATAAAGCCTTCCTATCAATGTATAGTTTGAACTTTGTTGAGCTAGCTGACTTAGACTTGCACCACCAGACCATTTTGATACGTACTTCTCTGGAATATTTCAAGTGTATATACAACACCACACTTTAAAATAAATGTACTTTGTTATTTTCCTCTTGCTCGTGGAATGTTTACAATTTCAAGTCTGGTATACCCAGTATTAAACTCAAAGTACTACAAAAAAATTTGTATTTTACTGCACTATCGATTCAAAATGCACAAAAAACTAGCAACGTGATGGCCTTTATTACAGTATGTAAAGAACACAATTTTGCTGTTATGATGCCTTTAATTCTAAATAAATTCCTTCCCATTGTTTCAGAGTTCTTTCTTTATGCTAAAAGTGAAAACGTGTCCTTATAATGGCATTAGTTATGCAAGTCCAGATCCATTCTGTTAATCAATACTGAAGGAAAGTGATGACTTCTCAGTAATTATTAAAAAAAAATGCTTAATTGTACACATAATTGAAAATGTTTAAAAATCAGAAGTACAACCACCCCACCTTCTGATGAATTTGTGGTATGACATGTCAGAAAACTTATAAACACCCCTGATGTTGGCTGCTCTCATACTTAATTCAGAATGATTGCCTCAGTATGTGCTCAATCTCCATAAAAGCACTAATTATATGATGAAAGACAAGGAACTATTGGAGAGGGTCCAGAGAAGGGCCACAAAAATGATTAAGGGGTTGGAGCACCTCTTATGAGGCAAGACTAGGGGAGCTGGACCTGTTCAGTCTAGAGAAGACTGTGAGAGGGGATCTCATTAATGCATATAAATATCTCAAGAGCATGTGAAGAGGACAGTGACAGCCTCTTTTTGGTGGTGTCCAGCAATACAACGAGGAGCAGTGGCCATAAACTGAACAAGAGGTTCTGCTTCAATTCGAGGAACAACTTCTGTACATTGAGGGTGGTAGAGGACTGGAACAGGCTGCCCAGGGAGCTTGTGGAGCCTCCCTCTCTGGAGACACTCAAAACCCACCTGGATGCATTCCTGTCACCTGCTCTAGGTGACCCTGCCTTGGAATAGATGACATGAAGATCATCACAGGGGACATTCAGATTAGGTATTAGAAAACAATTTTCACTGTTAGGGTCGTCAGGCATTGGAATATGTCGCCCAGGGAGATGATGGAGTCACCGTCCCTGGAAGTGTTTAAGAGGCGTCTGGATGTGGCGCTGAGTGATGTGGTTTAGTGGTTTAAGGGTTACAGTGGTAGTGCTGGGTTTTTGGTTGGACTTGAGGATAATAAAGGTCTTTTCGAACCTTGATGACTCCAGGATTCTATGTCCAGAGGTCCCTTCCAACCCTAACGATTCCGTGATTCTGTGAAGTGAGTGGGCGCAACACCGCAGCTCAGTTTCGGCTGCACGCCGCACGAAGAATTCCAAGTGTGGACACACAATCGTTTCACCTGGGGAACCTTCCCCTCGAAAGGTTCTTTCCTAAGAGCACCCCTTTGCCCCGGTTTTGTCAGGGGCAATGCTTAATCACAAACTGCAGTGACGCTGCCCCTCGCGCAGCAGCCGCCCCGCTCCCCGCCGGGCCCGCGGAAGCAGCGGGGGCTGCTGGGGAAGCGGAAGGGCCGCCCCGGCCCCGCCCCCGCCCCGCGCGCGCGGCCCCGCCCCTCCCTGCCCTGCGCAGGGGCCGCCGGAGCCGCTGGAGCCGCCGCGCCCGCCCGGCCCCGCGGCCGCCGCCGCCCCGCCATGTCCGAGGCGGGCCAGGAGCTCGTCCACCTGGTGTGGGGCAAGAAGGCCGGGCCTCGCGGGCTGGCCGACACCATCTTCTGCCGCTGGGCGCAAGGTACCTGCGTGCGCCGTGCCCCGCCCGGCCCTCCCGCTGCCCCGGGGCCCGCCCGCCGGGTCACACCCGAGGCTCCCCCGCCGCCCTCGCGGGGTCCGCCCGTGGCTCCGTGTCCGTGTCCTGAGGGGCGCCGTGCCCCGGGCACTGCTCGTGTTCCTGTGTCACCTCGGCGTGTGGCCCACGCCAAAAGAACGATGCGGCAGCTTCCCTTGCTAAATAATTATTTTATTTTTTCACAGCTCGCTCGTCTTTAGCCACAAATCTCCAAGGGAACTTAAAATTGAGTAAAAAAAGGAAATGCATTTCTTGGGTGTTTCGTCTCATGCCGTGATTTTACATAGCTTGTGGAAGCATGAGCTTAAGGTCTGCTTTGGTTTTCGTTGGTTTTTGTTTCTTTTGCTAAAAATATGTGAGTCACAAATAGACTTAGCAAAAGTGGGGGCAGGCTTGGGACAGAGACCCACAGATTTTTTTTAAACGGGTTCTTTGGCCAAGGAAGCAGGTGCATACCGTCTTTAGGATGTGGCAAGAGATAAAGCAGTTGATGGGACCTGGGGTATTTGTAAGGGGTTTTTTTCTATATTTAAATTACGCAGCCTATGCATTGTTTCTTCTTGGTGGAGACTTACTGTGTTCTCTTAAAACTACAATTGCAAGGTGTAATATGGAGGCTTACCTGTAAAGATGATACACAAGAAATCGGTTTGTGAACCTGTCCTGGCTGAAAGAAGGGAATAATAGCCTTCTCTATAAGTGACTGTGGGCTTTGAAGAGTTCTAGTAATGGTTACAATGTTCCTGAAAAAACCACTAATTCCTGGAGAAGATTCACAAGTGATAGTGGAATTTACAGATTAAAAAAAAAATTGCATTCAGGTCTCAGGGTAAAGTTGGTTGAAACAGAAGTTTCTTGGTGTTTTCTGTTCCTTGCTCTTTTTTTTTTCCTTTTTTTTTTTTTTTTTTTTCTTTTTTTTTTTTTTTTTGGTAACAAGAGTGTTGTCATCTACGTAGTTTCAGTAGATGCATGTGTGGTGTTGATTTGGGAGCTGCACAGCTACTCCTCATCACAGGACACAGTGTATTACCAAACTCATATCTTTTTCCCTAGGTTTATCTGTGTTCAGATAATTCAGTGATAATATCTGGGGGGGAAAATGCTAAATTTCTTCCAAGATCTAGGATTTAAACAGGCATAGTAAAGCCATTACTTTCCTAATGAACTGATTATTGAAATATAATTACTTTCTGAAATATCTCTTTTAAGTTTTAGTAATGTTGCTGTTTCAGTACAAGGTTTGTGCAAAGTCAGAAAAGAAGAATTGGTATTAAAAAGCTTAATTATTTATTTAACTGGTAATATTGGATTGCCACAATTGACGTTTTGGAGATAATTTGTATGAAAAGTTTTAGCAGTTTCAAAATTTATTGAAAGGTGTATTATAATGTATTGAAAGGTGTATTATAGTGAAGGATTAATTGAAATGGTCTCTGGTGTTCTTGGTGGCTTCTTCAAAGGAGCTGTTACTTCCTATCTGTCTTCAGAGAAAGTCCTGTGACTATACTGTGTAGTGTATCTGTTACCTTCTCTATATCCTTAGTGTAATCAATTTTGTGTAGCAAAACCCACTAACTATGAGTGCGGCATTAGGAGGTCTTGTGCTGAGAATCAGAATGATAAGTTTGAGTCACTTGTGTAGCAGCATAATACTTTTACCCAACTTTCTGTTTCTATGCAGTTGAAAAAGTTCTGTACCATTTGCTTACTGCAAAGCAGTCACGTCAACACTGACTCATGAAGATTTAACAGAAGAAAACCACAAATAAAAATATCAAGCTGTATTATTTACAAAGACTTCGGAGTTTAAAAGATAGGCCCTCGTTTCACATATGTGCAGAAAGCATCAAACAACTAGTTTGATGTTGGGAGTTTTTTGTATCTGTTTTTGTTTTTTTTTCATATGTAATGTAATTATTTCAGATACTTGGTAGATGTTGTCTGATCCTTTCTCAAACCCTTTGGAAATTGGGAACTGTGTTTTTAATTTGGAAAAAAAGTAGAGAGTAAAGGAAAGAAAAGTAGAGAGGATGTTGAGGAATATAAGACTCAAACCAATCAGTTTTTCAGTGAAGACAGCAGTATTCCAGGAGTCCCCCTCATGCATCAAACTCTGTGACCTCATTTGGTCAGGACTGAAGGAAGATGGGCTGATCTGCAGGCAGTTAAACAGAACTGCCCCCACTCATGTGCATGTGCTGTTGGAAGTTAGCAACAGTGATTCCCTCAGTTTGCTGCATTGGCAACTTTAAGTATATTGGTTTTATTCCTGACTTAACAAAGGCATGGCTACGGATTTGCTGTTGCAATTGTTGTGAGGTTTTTTGTGGGGGGTTTCTTTATAGAATTTTTTTTCTTTACGATTGCAGCAGAATTTGCAGTTTGAACCTTGTGGAGTCTGTTTACCAGAATCCTCAAAGCAGACACAAGAATGTAGTGCAAAAGCTTCGG